GATACCTGTATGGAGTGAGATAAGGGTCAGGAAAGGAGAGCTCACGGTTTAATCATATGAGAAGTGTTTGGTTCCTGGATGTGAGCTTTTCAAACATCTGCTTTATGATTCTTTCTTGTAAAAAAGGAGGAAATGATAAAGCACTGATGAAAGCTTAAATAGAATAGCTTAAAGAGGAAACAGTCTTTTGAGGGCGAGCCAGCTCTAGTTTATCAGCAAAACAATAAGCAGACTTTTGACTTTGAAAATAATGAAAAGAAATCATTCCTCCCAGCTACAGAGATAGGGCTAAATTGCAAATTGGTGGCTGCACACAGATGATTGCGCGTACGTGCAGCTGTGGCTCAGAATGGGATAATGTGAGACTGAGGCAAAGTTGCAAATGTCTGTTTAATTGAGCCAAATAATGTTGTTAGGGTTACACTGAGAGGTCAGGGAGATGAGGCTGTCTATAGTGATACAGCCATAGATAAGATATGATAAGAGTAAATCCTTTTGCGACCTTGCTTAACTCTTTATTACAGTAGATTGTCTGGGGGGGGGGGCTGTAAGGCACATATGTTTTTAAATAGATATAATTTCCCCTTGTGGAACATGTGCATGTCTGTTTCTTTTTATTTAGATCACACTCTGATAAATCAGGAGGTGCTGTCGGCTCAGGGGACTCTGGTAGCCATGTAGGTCTCCAAACTTAAAAACAATGTTGAATGATCGCAGCTTGTGTATCTCCTGATTATTTACTGTGGGAGTTTTCGTTAATTTCCTGTGGTTATCCTTTCACTTTTTACACAGGGTTCATTTGACTGAGCACAAACCTGTTTTCTTTTGCAGCTCTGGTCAATTTTCACTGAACAGCTCCAATGTTACTGCGCTGTCTCGATTACGAACCCTGCTGCTTTAATTTATTTTTCAATAACTACTCAGTCTGTCCTTGACCAGCATCCACTTTAAATAACAAACAGGAAGTCTAATTTAAATTCATTTATAATTATTTATTTATTAGAACTTTTACTATAATTCCAGAAATGAAATACGAGTTAATTGCACTTTTAGCTCCACACAACTGAACAGCTCTGTTGTGTTTTGTTTATTGGATGTTTGTCAGTGCATGTATGTATCTTGTTTTATCTTTTAATTAATAAAGTTGCATTGTATTGTATAGTGCTTTACAGGTCGGTTTGGTTTCATTTGTCAAAATGCTAACTGTAAAATTGTAGCACATTACGAGGACCATGTATGGCCTTTAACTGAATCTTTAATATTGCAATCAAAGTACTTCCGATAGGACAAGTCTAAAGAAAAAGCAACGGCTTCCTCTTGACTCAAGAGCATGAGCATCAGAACTTCAGTATATTTAAGTTACAACAATGGAGATAATAACAATACTTGACATGATCCCTTTAGGGAGCTGAATGTAGTGGACCAAAAAAAGGGAAAAAATAAAATAGTGTGTAGTTTGTAATATTCCCTTTCTCAAACATCCAGTTCCCCAAAGACAAGAGGTGATGTGAGTTGTTGGCCTGGCTGCTCTGCTCATTTCACAACCCGACTCCCCTCTCTTGTCTGGTATCATCACTGAAACACGTGGTGTAGAAATGGTTGCTCTTATGTAAGTCTAATGTTAGCCAATGGTCCATGGTCATCAAGCATGTCAGCCTCCCAATGAGCTCACTCAGCCCTACCAGCCTTCCCCTCAATGCACTAAGAATGCAGTCTACGAGTAACTGGCCTTTTTGAGAATTCAGCCACTTTCAGATGAGAAATACTCAGAAACAGCAGCAGCTGAGCCAGTAAAATTCAATACATACCTACAAACAGTGAAGTGCTGACTTCACAGTGGAATATTTTGCAACCTTGGATTTTCTTCTCCAGCCTCTGTCTCTGTCACCTCCCCTCTTCCTCATGACTTTGCCATTTCCCAGACCGAACTGTGCCGTTGTTATCTCCAGACAGCAGGGGGTTGTTGAGCACATCTCAAGTTGAGCTTTTTTTTTAAACCGGCCTTTGGCTCTTTTTGTTTCCCTGCCAAAGCCGATTTTCTTGTGGAATAGCCACAACTGTCTGGCAGGAGCCCCTGTGGATTTGGGACATAATGCAGCAATCAGCATGATGGTGAGATACTCAGCTTGGCCACAGAAAGGCCGTCTGAATTTAACAAAGCAGAAAAAGGTTATAATAGCAGAGCTGGAACTTTTTATCAAAGCCTCATGTACATGTCTGTTACATGCCGATAATCTGACATTCACATTATCGACACAATGCCATTTGTAGATTTAAGCTCCTCATAAATGACACATTTGGGTTGTAACTCTTGACATAATGCTGCAATTGTGTCATCCACATTTTAACCAAATGTATAATTCATATAATTTAACACTGAGTAATTATAAGGCCCACGTTGGTCATACTAGTTGACATGGTAGTATTATGTTCTGCCTATTTCTAGAAACATTAAGTCATACACCCTGAACATGTGCAAGGTTTTATAAATGTTGAAACATTTCACTTTATATGTTAAATGATGTGGGTTTATATAGTGTCTTACTGACCACTCAAAGCACATTACAGTTTGCCATTCACATATTCACACAGTGCATCTATGGGCAGCAATGTTTCCAGAGGGGCCATTCGGAATTCAGCATCTTGCCCAAGGACACTTCGGAATGGAAGGGAAGACGAGGATCCAACTGCCAACCGTTTCTACCGCTTGGCCACACCCGCCCCACATATGTTTTCATGGGTTTCTAAAGCACTTGCAATACTGTTGTAAACCCATCATTCAAATGAAATGATTGATTGTACCTGCCTGTCACTAACCAACCTGCCTGTGCATGACCGGAACCTTCAGCGAGATAGAAATGCACCGTTGAAGCAGTGCCAATAGCGAGAAGCAATGGGAGGGGTAGGGCTGTAATGGTTGCATATTTGCAAAGTGAAGCCTGCTCTTGTAATAGCTTTTCCAGAATGACCAACCCTCACTTTAAATCATATTTTGCCCCAGATAACATCACCAGGTTTAGAGGACTAATTCACAAAGAGACTTTACTAAGTCATATAAGACTGGTTTCCTAATGCGGATGGTCCCAGAGCATCAGGGCCCTAATTGTGAATCCTATGTGTGTTTTTTCCCCTTGCCTCATTAATTTTGTCTGGTGGGAAAAGCAATGTCTTATGGGAAATCAAGAAACAGAATGCAGAGAGGTTCAGAGGTAAAATGTATAAATGTTAAATGCAAATCGCTTTCACTCTGAGTCACATTCACCTCATGTTAGACTCAGATAAACTGTTCTTGATATTCATATGATTTGACAGTAACTAATCTACATCAGGATTATTTATATATACTCTATATTGAGTCTGTGAGGGCTTCGTATTTGTGCTCTGAGCTGAAGGCTACTGGCTGTTTCGTGCACTGATTTGTGTCACACTGTTTGATCCTGCAGGATTGACGGTGCAGCTGCACCTAACAAGGTAGCTTGTTATTCTGCATGTTCCTAATGATGTCAGTGATCCATAGATCTAAATTCTCATGTGGGGACATAATCCTTTTTATTTTCCGTCTTTCATGTTCAAATAACAGCAGCGGAGTATCCATGGTCCAGACTATTGTGTTTATCCTTTCTCACCAACACTGTTAATGACGGATGTATGTGAAGTGTTGGATATATTGTGTTTTTACAGTATGTGTTTACATAGTGTGTTTACAATATTTACAATATGTTGTTAAGGGGTGATAATTAACGTGTCCACTTGTGTCTCTTATTTACATCATTGCTGATCTTAGCTGGAGCCATCTTACTTCAGAGGGACTCACAGGCACGAACATGAACTTGTGCAGATCACAACCCATGCAGGGAGAGAGTGTGATTCTCTGCTCTCGATGCAATTTCTCTACTATATCTTTAGATTGAAGAATCTTGTATATAAGGATGTTTTAAATCCTGAAAGGAGTAGATGCACTGAATGAATGTGTGTGAACGGCAATAAAACTGTACTTCAAAGTGCTTCGAGTGTTCATCACGACTAGAAAAGCTCTATATAAAACAGACCATTTACATATGTCCTGTCATCATCACCTATAGGGCTGCCTTTACCTTTACCTTTACGTAGACGGGTGTGTCTGACCAAGACCACCTCTTTTGGTTAGACAAAAGTCTTGGTTCCATTTAACTTTCCAAATTGTTATTGTGGTTCTTACTATTAAAAAGTCCAAAGGTCCGGACCAAACCAGGTAGGAGTGAAACATCCATAATACTAAAATCATCACATTCACCTGAAGAGCTGTCTTCCTTAACCTTAAACCTTCATGTAGAACTTTATTGTTTTAAAGCAAACCTTGTTACTTGTGGTGGCAGTGAACTTTCTGCAAAACTCAATTCCTCTTTGTCTATGCCCATGTAGGTTGGATTAATGTCTCAGATGTTGATTGCAGCCCTGAAGAAACAAGGCTGATGCGTTTCCTCAATTCATTTGGAGCCATGAGGCAGTTCTGAGGATCAGGCAAACCCATAAACTAATTCCCACAATAACCCATTAAGCAAATACAAAGCTGGAAACATTTGTTCAGGTTCCCTTTATGAACCATAATGTAACATATAGGAATCTGGGAACATAAGACTCTGTACTGACCACAGATCAGGGACCGAGTCACATCTTACTCAAGGACTTAACGTACAAGAATCCTTATGAACCATTGATCACCACTCACATGATTTAATGCATGGACTAGCTTATGCATATATGACTGACAGAATTGATATATTAATATTAAAACGTGCAAAAGGATCCTTCCTTATAAAAGTTATTATACTTCAACCTCAAAANCACACACACACACACACACACACACACACACACACACACACACACACACACACACACACACACACACACACACACACACACACACACTTACTTCCATCCATCCATCAGAAGTGTCAGAGGCAGCACAAATACAACAAAAAAACAAAATACAACAGAGGAATTCCCCTTTTTGTTGTGACGACTTTATTTACACAGTGGAAACAACAATGAGGGATGTTGCTCGACTACCATTGGCGCCTTGTCGACATGCCGTTCAAACATTTATGATACAACACTTATTGTTTCTTTACGACTCTAAATTTCTCTTAATGTCACAAAGAGACACACTGTACAGCACCAGAGCGCCGCCGTGACAGACGACGCTTCTTTACTTTAACATGCATCAACAGAAACTATTCACCAGGAGGTTTTATTATCCATAACTCAAAGTGACTGATACACGTTTTTCCTCCACTAACACATTATTTACTAAAATGAATAAGCAGGCTGTTTTTTCTAAACATATATTTATAATTGTAAATGTTGGTGAGGGTTTCTCCACATGTGAGACGTGCATTAAAGTGACAAACAGAGGCAATGTCAAACTATCTTTGGTCATTGATGCTTCATTTTCCTTCCCAGGAGAAATTGGCTGTTATTTATTTATTTTTAAAATGATGGCCTCATGGAATAAACAACTTCTTTCTTTTACACGTTCTATTCTATTCTTCATCTCTGCAAACGCATGCAAAAGCTCTAATAGATCCCTGAATCTTCGTTTATCTTCTCAGTGTCACATCTACCACTGTTCCTCGCCTTAACTTAAATATACAATATATAATATCTTCAATAAATACTTTGCCTGTGTTAGTGTTCTACTCAACAGAGTAAGAGTAAGTTCCTATTAGTTTATACGATGACTTCAACCCACAGATGATAAGTTTGTCTGATGAAGACGAGGCTGCACAGACACACTGAAGCTTCTATGCTACAACAATGACACATCTACATTTCACAGTCAGTGCTTAACGCCCGGGTCACACTGGGTGCATGATCATTTTTACTGTCTATCTTTTTTTGAACTGCGTGCGGCCTGCAGAGAAAATAGGCAAGACTGACTCTCTGGAAGAGTGTGGCCGCTCTAACTTGATATCATGGGCGCCAACTGAAAAGCAAGACGTTCTGCTCACACGTGCAGCGTGGCTCGGGCGTAAGTTTTATATCAAATGTCAGCATGGTTCTTAATCTCAACTCCAGCTGCTTTGAAGGCTGGTTGTTCCATTAACGTTAGCAGAGGATTAGTTGATTTCCTGTTGGCAGATCCTGGACTGCAGGTTGTGGACAAATTGGCATGAAGTTACTGCATGTGTGACTGAAACAGAGGCATTGGTGCTGTATTTATCAGAGGTACTTTTATTGGTAACATCCATCATGAATCTTCCATCCTGACACCGCATCACCATGACGATGAAGATGATATGTGTGGTAGGTGTACATGTGTGCATACATATCTGTGTAGATCCTTAGTGTTGTTAGCTCTTTGTCAGTGTTCGGGGCTGAGCGGTGGACGGATGTCCAGCGTTCTCGACGAGCTGTCCTCTCCCACCACCTCGAGCCGCAGACTCGGAGAGCTCTGCTCCTCCTCGCCCTCTGATTGGACGGACAGACGCAGCGTGCAGCCCTTTGGCAGCAGCTCCTGCTCGTACGCTGCGGCTAACTGGTTGACGACCCGCCGCTCAACCTGAGGGATCAGGGATAAGGTTAGAGCTCAGGCAAGAAACTGTAAAATCTTAGTTTTCCTATGTTGTTATCTGATTCATTTGTTACTGATAATTAATCTTATTTCAGTTTAAAAAGATATATTTTTACTTCCTACACCTTCTATCCAAACACTGCTGCTCGGCCCCTAAAGAAAAGACACGGACTGATATTGAACACTGTTCTCAGCTGACTGGAGGCTGTTCCATGATCAATGTGTATCACAGACTAGATATTTCCTTCTCTGCGACTGATGTCTCTCCCTCTGTAGGCATCACTTTAATTTTCATTATAACGACCAGTCTGACAGTGGTTTAATACAACGGTTACACAACTGTTCCTCGTCTCTCTCTTCTCTTCCGTTCTCAGCCTCTCCTCATGCACATGGCCGCCCACACTGCTGACTTGCTGGAGGTTTCTTGTCTTTTCTCGTTTTACTGAAAGGTTTCTCTATAATTTGTCAGGTCTCCATCTTACTATGTCAAATGCCTTGAGATAATGTATATTGTTATTTGGTGCTATACAAATAAAATTGTACTGAATTAAAAAAGTAACTTTCAAGAATTATCGAGTGGTGTTTATTTTTGTCCAAGGATTTAAAATAGATTCATAATTTCTTTACATTAAACAAATGTTCATCGCCTGCGAAAAAAATGAAAAGAAAAAAATCCCTTGTATACCTCATGCTTGATGGAGCGTGCTCCATAATGCATATTATACCCGCCTGCCAACAGGTCCAGTACCGGGCGATCCCACTGCAGAGTGATGTCATGGCGCTGCTTGGCCTAATGAAAACAAAATGAGAAAAGAAACCCAAAGGCCTTGCAGGAAGACAAATGACAAAGGATCAACCAGCATATGTGAGCAGGTCATCAGTCGTCCTGGTAACTTTGCTCCGAGGCAGAGCCCACCTGAGCTTCAGGCTGACACAGATTCAGCCGCTGACATTTCCTTTCATTCTGTTTATTTGCTTTTCTATTTTAGAAAGTATAGTTGAGAATGATCGCCCGACACACTCAGACCCTGTAGTGCTTACATTCATTTTCATGATGTTGAGCAAAGGGATTATCTTTGTTCAACAACACAGAATGATACTCACACTGGAGTCACTTCCCTCCTAGGATATCCTTTATACATGGCTTTGTTTTTTCCCCTCGTGATGGAAATTTTTTGTTTGCGATCTACGAGAATTTTCTGGGATAACAATAACATCTGGATTTCATTTCATAGAGCTTGGCTTTAAATACAGAGCCTGCTGCCCTTTTCTGTACTGATGTATAGATTCATAAATATGTATGAATTTTCCAAGTGATTGACTGTTAGAAGAGAGAACCATTTTATTGAAATGCAACGGCTTTGGATTTAGCTATATTCACAGAAAACACTACCAATGATTACGTTTTAATAATTCAAATGAATATCATACAAGAAATGTATAGAAATGTTTGGTCAAAGATTAGTTCATTGTGACTTAAGTAGTTTTAGATTTTTGGAAAAAAATCACTTTTAAAATAAGGCCTAGGATTCAGAGCTATGGAAATCTGTCCACGAGAATCTCCAGACATTATTTCCAAATCAACAAATTATATCACGATAAGCATGTTAAATGTACTCTAGATGCTTCAGTGAAACCGTCAGGAATTTGGGAGTTATCTTTGACCCTGATTTGTCCATTGATTCTTATTTAAAACCAATTTCAGAGACTGCTTTTTTCCCTTATATAACATTTCAAAAATGAGAGAGAAAAAATAGCCAATGCCTTTGTTACGTCTAGACTTGAGTATTGTAATTCCGTAGTATCTGGCTCTCTGGCTCTACCAGTAAGTCTATGATGACTATGCAGCATGTGTCCTGACAAGAACCAGGAAAGTAGCTCACATTTATCCTGTATCAGCTTCATTACACTGGCTTCCTGTTACATTTAGAATAGAGTTTAAAATTATTCTCCTCATCTACAAGGCCCTTAATATCTCACAATCATACCTTAAATAGCTCACAGTACCATTTCACTCCACTTGAGCACTGCGCTCCCAGAAATCAGGCTTACTTGTTGTCTCTAAAGTTTCTGACAGTAGGAGCCAGAGCTTTCATGGGAGCTATCAAGCTCCTTTCCTGTGGAATCATCTTTCACTTTCAGTCCGGGAGGCAGAAACCCTCTCTATGTTTAAGAGTATAGCTGAAAACCTTCCTTTATGATAAATTATATGATATGTTAAAAAGTTAAAACTGGTCCAGGCTTGTCTTTGACCTGCTCTTAGTTATGCTGCTATAGGTCTAGAATGTCAGGGGACAAATGGAGCTTCTCTTTCCTTGTCTCTCTCTTTATCACATTAATGTCTCATCAATACATGATACTGACTTGACTTCTACTCTGGAGTCCTGGTGCTTTATTGTTTGCAGATCCAGGATCACTGTTGTGGCCACATCATGGATCATAGATTGTGATCATGACGGGTTTGGGGAATAAGAGATCGTGATGGTGGATTGTGGATCATGGTGGCATCTGATTGTGGTGGTGGATACTGATTGTGGTGGATCATAGGTGTGTTTTTTCCCCCTGTTGATACGATTTTTGGTAGTTTTTTCCTTACTCTTGTTGAGGGTTAAGGACGGAGGATGTCAGACCTTGTTAAGCCCTGTGAGACAAATTATTATCTATGAATATGGGCTATACAAATACAATTTGATTGATTGATTAATTGATAAATCCATTCATTAAAACAAACACAACCATGTTACTAGTAACCATATTTCTAGGGAGTTATTATTTAAAGCTATAAAGCCATGCTGGGACAACAGGATTTTGTGGGGGGGGTTGATTTATTGTCAGTTCACCTGAAAATCATGGGGGCATTTGTCAGGGTGCTTGGTAATGCGAGGGGTCTTCTGATTCAGTCTTGTACCTCCCACTTTCAAATGCTAACCAACTCGGTCAGGCACGATATGAGGAAACAAGTTTGTTATTAACAAGTTAAAATCTGGACAATTATAATCATGATCATGTCAGTAGTTTTACCAAATTGCTAATTAGAGTTTGACAGTTTGTCCAAGAGCAGAAAAATATGACCAACTGTGACTTCACAGCAAAGTAAACATAAAGATGAACTGTTGTCATTGGCTGGTTTCACGTGCAAGCTTTGTTTTGGAATTGGAGACTCCGATCTAGTTGTTAACATCATGGCTCTAAATCCCTCAATCGACACTATCATTTGGGCAGATAATCAGTTCAGACCAGCTTCAAATCAGGAATATCACAAACGATTGTCAGCTAAGCCGATTCTAACCCTGGATACCGCGAGCACAAGCTCATCAGTGTTACAATGTATACGATCGGGGGTGAGGAGGTCTGCTACGTAAGGCTGCACAAGGCCAATCAGTGCTTTTAAAACAAGTAATAACATTTTCAAATCAATTCCAAAAACCACAAGCAATGACATAAGAATGATTTGTGATGTGTATTCATATTTTGAAGTTCCTGTAAAAACCCTGGCTGCTGTGTTTTGTAAGCAAGTTGGAGGCAGTTGATTGATTTCTGTGAGAGCCCTGTGAATAATGAGTTGCAGTAGTTTAGATGAGTGGAAACAAAAGCATGAATGAGCACTTATGAAGTAATTAAAAAGAGAATAATTTGATCCATGCAATATTTGACCCGCAGCTGATTAGATGCTGAAATGTCCATAAAACATCAGATCAGAATAATAGAAAATATGCCCAGTAAATGTTAAATGTGTGACCTGACTTCAAGACGCCTCGAAGATCAAATTTGAACTCTGAGGACTAATAACTGGTTTATCGATGATGAGAAATATGTCAATCAGAATGTAATTGTTAAGAATCCCTTTAGTCTGTTCTCCATCCTGTTTGACAGAGTATCTCTTGCCTACCAGTCAGTCCACAGACAGTCGGCACCATTAACACTTCCTTCCTCTATATTGACTCCTTCCCTTTCTTCAGTCTCCTCACTGATGTTGTCTGCGAGGAACATTAACAATGCAAAACCATCTTCAAAGTGGAAAACATGCCGAAGCTCAGTCTGCTGAGCTGACACTGTCTTGATAGCAGCACCGCAAAAATGTTTGACCATTTCCTGCTTGTTCGCTCAGTTTCCTGTGCTCCGATTGAGGGACCTTAGTGCCCCGACCCCCTTTTTCCATTTTAAGTCTCTCTCTCTCACACACACACTGTCTCCCTAGAGGAATGGACCAAAGAGGAACAGGAAGGACTGTAACTTCCACACTTTCTATTTCTATTGTTCTGTCTTGTTTTCCCTTTTGGCCAGTTGGGGACAAGTCTGCTCATTCATAATGTAAGCTGCACCCTGAGCGCTGACAGTGTCCTCTCCTGCCCTGTCCTGAGGAGGGGGAGCAGACAGAATCATTTATGACTCTATAGTTGAATTTTTTTTGGCGGTTTAGTTTTGTTTGCTCATTAATCATAGAATCACACTTAATGACAGTTACGTTAAAATGTCACCTCCCATTCTGTCTATACGCATGCTCCTTCTCAACTGACTTATCAAAGCTGCTGTATTGGCACTGAAAGATAAATCCTTATAACTCTTGTATGCCAACCAACTTCTCATACAGTCCCTGGTTATCACTTTCCTCCCTCTGGACCTCCGTTTATGCACAGAATGCAGCAGCCCATCTGGTCTTCAATGAGCCAAAGAAAGCATACTATGCTCATCAACCTCCACGGCTGCCCATGGCCCAAATTGTATCAGTGTCTCAAATGACAGTATAGTAACAGGTATTAATTGTCTCCAGCACCATCAGCAGTGATATAAACATTACATCCAAATGAACATGCACATTTTTGCCCCTCTTCCACCTTGTGATGTCTTTTGGAACACCCTCTATAAATAAACCTGCCCACCATGGTGATGTAAATACAGAAACTCATACCTTATTTTTAAATAATCTACGGGCTACACCATGGACTCATCATCCCAGTATCCAGATATAGAGCTGTAATATCCAGCATACGAACATTGTCATCTTGTGCTGTGTACGTCATTTGGAGCCAGAGCCTGCCCCATAGCGATGGAAGGATGGAGCCAACGTATGGTTATAACCTATTTAACCTAACCTTTTACTTCTCACAGGATGGGGTAATTATGGCCAACAGGAGGCCAGAGGTGTTGCCGATACAAAGCATTTGGATATATAAATTTGAATGTTTATTCTGCACTTTTTTCTCTACAATTAAATTCTCATTTTTTTATTTGTTAAAATTTCTGTATATTTTTATGAAGTGTGATTTGAAGTAAAGTTATTTAAACTGTCACAACCATGGGCTGCAACACGACTGACTAAAACAATCCCTTCATTATGTGAGATGGCCTGCTGAAAATCAGGCTCGACAAAACAATAACAGCTGTAAGAGAAGTTGGAAGTTCATAGTTTTGACTGGTGTCATAAATCACACATCCAGGGCTGGTTACCGCTGCATGGGAACTGTGATGAGCCAAACGCAGACATCTGGGGGAATCACTGCTCTGAGGTCAGAGGGCTCAGAGTTTAAGCTCAGTGCAGTATTAGAGAAATACTGTGAGATTTCTAGAGTAAACATAATGAAAGAAAAAGTCTTCAAATATGATATTTTGATTAATAGGTTACATTAGACCAGGGGTCACCAACATGGTGCCCGTGGGCACCAGGCAGCCCCCTAAGACCATGAGTCGCCCGCAGGCCTGTTCAAAAATAACACAACTCACCAGTGAGCTGTGTCTAATTAAATTAAATTATTTCTTTTTTATACCGTCAAATTTTAATTCTTATATTGA